ACAAGAAAGTAGTCGCAAAGAAGCTTAAAGAAGATTTGCTAGCTACAGCGCCATTAGAAGGTCATGGTGAAACTAAATGTCAAGAAGAAATGAAGCTTAAAAATATGATTTTTGATGAAGATAGGATCTATCTCAAGATGGATAAGCTTATCGATCTGGTCCAATTGTTGGTGGTGCTCTGTTTAGTCATGACTGTCATAGTTCTTTTAGGTGCGGTAGTGCTTATTAGCAAGTGAAGCGTTCTAGAACTGTGTTGTATCGAAGATCGATTAGTTAGCTTTTTGTCGCTAGTTGGATGCCAATATGCACTGATGATTTAGTGAACCGCCTATTCATCTGTTATCAATTGGCAACACTAGTTTCAGCTTGTGGCACTAGTTTGATTATTGCAATTAGTGATTGGCTGATTACAAACATGAAACTGAAATATATGTTAAATAGGTGTTTGCTATTGTCATCATTTTTTTTTGCCGTTGTCTAGCCTTGTTATCTCGAAAGTTAACCATGGTAATCGAATCTACACATGTTACATCAACCTAGCTCACCTTGCAACTTTCTATTGATCTTGTTCCTTTTTTCCTCGAAAAAAAAAACAAACTATGCAGCCTTTTGCAAATGTCGGTTTATACACATAAAAACACAAGATTCATATGTGATCACTTCAGTTTCACGTTCAAATTGCTACTGAACTGAATTGAAAAAAGGACACAGAAAACTGGTACTGGAACACGAAATGGGGAAAATCGGCAAGCCTTTTTTGATACAAAGTGCCCCCCCACACACACACTTTAGTTGCCGCCTCCACCACCTTGCCGGATGCTTTGGCGAGATGGGGCTTGGTAAACTGCAGGTCCATTGTCTGGCATTGACAAGTATGCCTGCTCATTCCAGAAGTTGGACAGAATTTCAATAAAATTTCAATTGAATTTGGACAGAATTTTGACACAATTTCATTATCACAATAACATTCAAAAAATATAGTAGATTTCATAAAGGTTCACACCATTCCAATAACATAAAGGTTCACACAATTACATATATCCAGATAACATAGTAGTTTCCATAAAGGTTCACACCAATTACATATATGAGAATTAATACCCTCTTGCATACCCCTTTTTGCCCTCTTGTCACCCTAATGGGGGCTGTTTTGTACGATCTGCTCTCTTGTGAGCCTTGTAATGGAGAGTGCATTTAAATTTCTTGGTGCCAAGACTTGGGCATTGGAAGGATTTAATGTCTTTGGTGCCAAGACTTGGGCATTAGAAGGATTTGGGGCTGCTGGTGCCAAGACTTGGTCATTAGAAGGATTTGGGGCTGCTGGTGCCATTTCTCGCAGTGTTGGTTCAGCAGCACTGTCCCCTCCCTTCTTTGCTCTCTTTGTTGGGATCTTTGCATTGTCACCATACTTTGTTGTATTTTTCCTTGGCTTCCTTTGTCTGCAAGTTTAGAGACAAATATTCAAGTTAATGAGCACAACAATTTAGGACAGCAAGTGAATATAGTAGGTCTTGTCTTTTCTTAGTCCCATTAAAATGGCATTTGTAGCTTGTTTCACCATGGCCTAATTCTCCACATCTCTTGCACTTCCTTTTGCCTCTAATCATCGTTTTCTTGCCGTTTTGTGCCTCATTCGCAACTTGTTTATCTGCCTCATTTGCTGCTTCCTTGGCTGCCTTCTTTCCTTTGCTTCCACTACCTTCAAGGAAGCTTTTCATCTTGAGTTTTCTATACCTACCAACTGCCTTCTTGTAAAGGGGTGCCTTAAGCACAAACGACAAATCAACATCTGGCCACTGTGACCTATCAAGCAATGGCTCTATAAGTCTCTTATACTCGTGCACAAAGTCCTCCATATTTACATTAGCGGACTGTACACTTGTTATCAAAGCCAAAGCATGCTGGCAAGGCTTACCAGTATGCTGCCCCTCAAGGCAGGTGCACTCATGAAGATATGACTTCACAACATGTCTACTATTAGTGTTTGTGGTGTCCCAAATCTCTACCGCAGAACTATCAGAGTCTACAACGGTCAAGTGCCCAAGTCCTCTTGTTCTTGCCTTCAACTGATGTATGACTGCTGGGAGGATCTTCCCATGAAGCCTTTCTGATATTCTTCTCCTTTTCGCCCACAACACCATTATCATCTCTCTGAGTTTGTCTGCGAGCTCCACAACAGGAAGGTCTTTCCAGTCCTAATGAATTTGGCACTTCTGCTCATCCTGCAAAGTTTTTTGCAGTTCCTTACAACCCATACTTATTTTCTTTCTAAGGTGATGTATTGCCTTTGTAGCAACCTAAGCACTGGTTGGTGTCGTAGTCTTCCTCCTAGCACTTGATGTACATGTGTGGTCACCAATAAGCACTGTCACCTGCAAAAAAAATTTAGTGAATGCAAACAATAATAGAAGGACAAAAAATGCAAGTTAGCACCATAATGGTGCACCCATCAGGTTGTCTACGCCCAACAAGATGCCAAAGACAATCTTCTCATTTGCAATCAGCAATGTATCTAGTTGGGTCTGTTTTGACAATGTATAGTTCAAACTCTTCATTTATAGCAAATTGTCTCACAGCCAATCTAAACTCCTTCATGTTAGGATACACTGTGCCAAGATCCATTCTAGGCCGATTTGGATCATGCACCACAGTCCTCTCTCCTGGTAAATAGTCATCAACATCAATGGATGCCCCAGTTGTATCAACTTCCCAAGCATCGTTGTTCTGCTCACCGCAAACTTTCCTAGCTGCCTCCCTTGCCTTATCAGCCTCCTCATCCTCAAGCATAAGTCCCAACAATGCATACATCACCTCATCATCCACCATCTCTATTCTTCCCTCTTCATCTTGACTTTCTTCAATACATAGCGTATCCCAATCAACAAGAGGTGTCCGCAATTTCTGCATGCAGGAGGTTCTCTCTCGTTGCTAAGCTAAGTTCAGGCTCTCCATCGAGCCAGTACAGGAAAAAAGTGGTACAATTAGGAGATCTCCAAAGTTAGATTACCACCATAAATTAGAGGGCTAAGAATTATTCTTTTTTTACTTCTTAATTACCACCATAATGGTTCAAAGTTCTATGTACATGAGCACAGCCTAGGTGTCATTTTATCATTGAAAAATAGCACATGAGCGTAAACTTAATAAATGAAAGGCATTGGGTTATGAGGGTCAACCTAATAAATCAAAAGCCATCAGGTTTATCGCGAACGTCCAGACCATTGAAAACAAGAAAGATTAATTCAATTTAATGATGGGTCTAAAAAACCAGGCAATCAAGTTCACAACTCAGAAACTATCATATGGGAGCACTGGTAAAAAAGAAGTTAAGTAGTAGAGCATTCGTGAGCAAGAATGCGTACCCTAGGATGAGATCTGGTCGGTGGTTGTCCATCTAGCACTGGTCGTGGCCGACGGTGCCGGGACCCTTGGCTGGCTACGGGGAGACAGCCGAGGAGGTGGGCTGGCACGGACGCGTCGGGGCGGCGGCGGGGGGCTCTCGGCGAGTACGCATCAGCCCTAGCGGCGTCGGTCTGTCCCGTGACCGAACGAATGGGGGATCGAATGGATTTGGATACGGTTGCTGGTGAGCAGGGGCAAAACGGGAAAGAAAAGAGATCGTGAAAAAAAAATTGGCGACAAAATATAGAAAAGGGCATTCTAGCAAGTGTGTCCAGTTTGATAGTGGCAAACGAGCGAATCCCTTTTGCAGGATTACAAAAGAGCGAAGCCCACGTTTCATAATGGCAAAATCCCAATTATCGTCACAAACTCACCTCACCAAGAACCTTTTTGAGCCAATCTCAAAAAAAAAAAGAACCTTTTTGAGCCTCCCTAGGCCGAAGAGAACATGGTGGTAATAAAGTGGTAACAAACAAAGTCCACCGCAGTTAGCAAATGTAGAAGAGGTGAGATTATATCATGGCAAATGGGCCCATATGTAAGATGGGCTAGTCTAGCGGCTTGCTAAGTGGGCCTGAGGTACATAGAGGAGGAACTAACATTAGAAGCTCCACCTCTTGATGAACCTAGACGACACCAAGCTCAAGTAATGTGACTAAATCATCCTCCCACATCCCTCTCCTTCCCTCTCGGTTTATCATTCCATCAAGTGCATAGAAAGCATGGAAAAAAAGTTGAAACGGTAGTGCCGTGATTTTTTCTTTTGTGAGTTTGTGACCAATAGCAATTAGCGTTTCTAGCTATATCCGGGGCCATTCCGAGCTGCCAAATGGGCTCCTTGAACTTGTGTGGGAAATTGGGAATTAGTATTGCACAAGTCTGACAAATGGAGACTCGCAGAGATGTGAAGCAAAAGTCGCATGTTTCGGCCAAGCTTCAGATTGTTCAGAGTTCTGATAGTTGGAGTTCGTTGTGTCCATTGAGTTTTGATCCCTGAGACCTGCTGTCCCTTTGCTTTATGAATCATGAACTTACGACTGCAGCTGAAGCAATGAAGGTTTACAAAGATAATCAGCCACACTCTGAAATCACTTTTCGTTCCCGTCGAATCAACACGTGCAAAACGCTAACCACGTCAGTTGTATTGCCATCTCAGCAAATGGTTACCTGCTTTTTTTCTTTTTGCGAATTACAGGAAATTTTTTCGATGAGAGAGAGAAATATCCGCATGCAACTCAGGCAAATATGGAAACTTTGGAAAGCAATCAATTCTATTGATCTCGCTATCTATGCAAATGCTAAACAAAAACATGTTCTCTGGGACAATCTAATCCTGAAATGTCAAGTGATTGGCCAGTGTCACTTGTCAGTGTCTGAAACTCAAAAGGGATATACTGACACAGATCAGCATTTGTGAAGCACAACTGGGGTTAAAATAGCAAATTGGATCCATCAGAGCCATGAGTGTAGACGTGCAGTAGCGTGCACAATCACAACTCTTCCCCTGCTTCCATACACTTCCAGTTCCAGCCGCCTTCCGCTGAGCGTCTGAGCTCCGACCCGCGCCGCCGCAGCGCACCCCTACCCTGACGCCGCCCATGTCCGCCGCGCTGGCAGCCGCCACCCCGCCCCGCCGCGTGGTCATCTGCGGCGGCGGCGTGGTGGCCGCGTGCACGGCCTACTTCCTCTCCACCCACGCCGTGTCCCCCACCGTCCCGACGCTCATCGAGGAGTGCGCCCCGGCGTGCGCCGCCTCGGGGAAAGCCGACGGCTTCCTGGCGCTCGACTGGTGTGACTCCACCACGGCGCTGTCTAGGCTCGCACGGGCCTCCTTCGCGCTGCACCGCCGCCCTCGGCGGAGCCGACACCTACGGCTTCCGCCCCGTCCACACGCTCTCCGTCCTGCTGCACACGCACCCCGGGCCCGCCCCAGCCTCGCCGCACCCGCGGCTCCCGCCCTGGGTCGACCCCTCCGCGTCCGCCGCGCCGTCGAGGGAGCTCGGTGTTAGGATCGATGATGTGTACCTCTGTGTAACCCGTAGATCCGGTGTGAGCCTTCTCACCCTTTGCGAGGATTCACCGCTCTGTCCATGACGCCGCAGCAGCTTGGACGCCGGTGTAGGGGCAGCTCCGGGTCGGTGGCGAGACGGCGAGGTAGCGATGCCGTGGAGATCCAGAGGGGACGGTGGTGACCCTGCAGTGAGTCGACGGCGGTGGTGGCGGGCTCATCCCGTCGCTGGCAGCACATCTTTAGATCGGATTAGGGTTTTCTTTGGTGGGTGTGGCGGCTCCGGCGAACCTCGTTTCTTGAGCCCAGTCCCCACTCCTCTATTTATGTGCTGTGCGACAGGGGCCCACCAACCAGTTAGGGTTGGGCTCCCCCGATCAGGGAGCAGAGGCAAGGGCCCAATAGGCCGTTGGGCCTATTGGTGGAGATCAACTAATATTCTCCTCCTTGATCTCATTCCATCTTTCACTTTCATATCATTTACTTTTGTTCATTCCATTACAGATTAGCTCATAGAGCATGTCTCATCGTCACGGTCCATTGCCGATAGACTTAACAGCTACAACTCACTACTCTGTTCTGAAATAGATACTTATCTTTGGGCCTTCTTTTGTCCAGGAATATTTTAGGCTTTCCCTTAAACCCAAGCTAGTTATATGTTCTCTGAACACCATGTCCTCTGAACATGTTGGGTGGTAAGCCTTTTGTAAGCGGATCCGTGAGCATCCTTTCTGTTCTTATATGCTCAAGACTTATGACTTGATCTCAGACTTTATCTTTCACAACATAATATACTATATGTCAATGTGTTGGCAAAGCACCACTTGACTTATGTTGTGAGCATCCACAGATTATAATTGACTTTTAGGCCCTGTTGGTTGAGCATCCTGTGGGGCATCGCTGGATTATAATCGCAGTGAGTTTAAATTCGTTTGGTTAAAGTGGTTTATAGATATCTTTATCTCTCAACCACTTTTATTCCACCAATTTCAAAAGCGTAGTTAAAGCCAAAAGGGTCAAAAATGAACTTCGTTAGTTAGTTCAAAAGCCGCCCTTTGTTGGGCTTTTCAAAAGCCCGCAAACAAACTATCATACATTGTGGACCACCTTCAAAGTATGAACTTCGTTAGTTAGTTCACCGCCCAAGTTGCCTCATTGACGCTACAAACTATTTTGTGGAAATAGCTCCCTTTTCATGAAATAGCTCCCCTTTGCGAGATGATAGAAAATCCACGCCCGGATATGCATTCACTCTTGCATAATCAGAATCTGAATATCCCACCATGTGGAGTTAATCGATCTTCTATATGTCATCATGAGGTTTTCGTTTCTTGCAAATAATGCAAGACTTTCTTTACTAATTTCAGTTGTTCTATTCGAATTGCTCTAGAATCGCCAAGTAAAACCCGGTAACAAATGCCAAGTCGTATGTGTACATACTTGAGCATGTTGCAAGCTTTCCGACACCAGTGAAGCATATGGAACCACTTTTACTTTATCGATTGAGCTCATATTGGTTCCTGGGGCATTAAAAATCCCCATATCTGTCGCCCTTGACTATAGGAGCAGGTGAGGGACTACATTTGTGCATACTGAATTTCTTTAAGATCTTTTTTCATGTATGCCTTTTGCGACAGTCATTATACCCTTTTCTTCTATCTCGGTGAATCTCGATCCCTAGAACGAACGAGGCTTCCTCAAGATCTTTCATATCAAATTTCTTTGTCTCCAGTAGTAGACTGACATCACTACTAGCAAGTAAGATATCATCTACATACAGGACAAGGAAGATAAACTTCCCATTCTTAAACTTTATATTGACACAATTGTCATCTACATTCTCTTTACTTTGTATAGACACAATTGTCATCTATATTCTCTTTACTTTGTATAGACACAATTGTCCCCTACATTCTCTTTAAACCCAAAATTCTTTATTGTCTGATCAAACTTCAAGTACCACTGTCTTGAAGCTTGTTTTAATCCATGAATGGATTTCTTTAGGCGACATCCCATTCGTTCTTTTCCTTCCATGACAAAACCTTTCGGTTGTGCCATGTTAACATTTTCCTCCAAGTCTCTATTGAGAAATGCCATCTTTACATCCACATGATATAATTCTTAATCGTAATGTGCCACTAATGCCATTAAGATTCTGAAGGTAACTTTACATGAGACTGAAGAAAAGGTCTCATTGTAATCAATCCCTTCTCTTTGCATAAAGCCTTTTAACACAAGTCACCCTTTATATCTCTCTATATTCCCTTGAGAGTCAAGTTTTGTTTTGTAGACCCATTTACAGCCTACTGCTTTGGCTCCTTTAGGAATTATTTCCAAGTCCCAAACTATATTGGCATTTATTGATTTCATTTCATCTTCCATGGCCTCAAGCCACTTTGATGAATGATTACTTTTCATGGCTTATTCAAATGAGGTGGGATCATCCTCCATTTGAAATTTTTTAGTGTTGTACACTTCATAATCAGCAAGAATAGCTGATTTTCTAACTTTTTGAGACCTTCTAGGGGTCTTCACATTTGGCACATCTTCTGTTTGAGGATGTTGTTGCTCCCCCTCATGTGTGGCAATAGGTTCTATAGGATCCTAAAGAACAGGTTCCTCATCGTTATTCATTGTTGCCACAGGTGGGATAACAACAGGTGCTGGCACCATAGTATTTAGTACTATCGGTGCAGCGACAACAGGTAGTGAGAAAAATGGCCCATGAATCATTAGAGTGGGCGCAAACACCCACTTCACTTTCAAGGTCAATTTCTCGAGCTACCATACTCCCCATCATCAATTCATCCTCTAGGAAGACAACATGTCTTGTTTCTACAAACTTTGTATGTCTTTCTGGACAGTAGAAACGAAAACCTTTTGACTTTTCTATGTAGCCAAACAAATGGCAACTTACTGTTTTGGGATATAACTTCCCAATGTTTGGGTTAAATACTTTAGCCTCAGCAGGGCTCCCCCACACACACGCAAGTGGTTTAGTGAGGGTACTCTTTCTATCCATAACTCATACGGTGTTTTGGGCACCGACTTTCCTGGTACTTTATTGATAATATGAATGGCCGTTTTCAACGCCTCCATTCACAGGCTCAACTATAAGGTGGAGTAACTTATCATACTGCCCACCATATCTATCAGGGTACGATTGATTCTTTTAGCTACTTTATTCTGCTGAGGTTCGCCCGGTGTGGAATACTGGGCTGCTATGCCATTCTTTTAGGGTATGCCGACCGTAGTACTCCCCCACGGTCAGACCTGACTATCTTAATCTTTAATATCTTAAATTTATCCAATACATCTTTTCTTTCTTTGATTGGATAAATATAGTCATAATGGGAGTAATCATCTGTGAATGGATCATAACCATCCACACTCTTTACAGGAAAGCTGACCACAGATGTCAATGTGAATAATCTGTAAAATTCATGTGTTTCGTTTGTCATCTTTCTTTACATACTTTTCTTTTATGCATTCTCTGCATTGTTCTTAATCCGAGAGCTCTAATGGAGGAAGAATATCATTCTTAACTAGTCTTTTTATTCTCCCCCTCGAAATATGGCCTGAACGATAATGCCATAATTTCGACGACGCATTGTGAGCTCTCTTATGCCACCATTATCAGAGTGACTATCTGTCACCAGCTGCTTTATCGGCTGGATAGCACATGTCTTTGAAGAGTCAGTGAACTGACTCCTTATTCTATCGAGGTACTCGGTGACCGTGTCACACTCTAGGATTGAGCCTACAATTGCAGGTTCAATCATTTTCTTTATCTAGCCAAACTTTTTCATGTTGGTAGTGATTCATTTCCTATGCCCAAGGAGTCATAGGATATCTTTTGGGATTTAAAATCCCTTTCTTTAGTTGCCCAAGTGGCATCATTCTCTTTTGTCTCCCTCACCGGTGCCACAAACTCAGTGGAACACGGTGAGGTGACTACCCAGTCCACCTTAGACAAGATGAAAACCAGATCAAAACTTTTCTTAACACAAAAATAACACTATTTGCATGCCTTGATTCCAACGTTGGTCAAAAACAAAACATATAATTATTCTTATACACTAATTCTACATCACCGTTGGGCAGAAATAGAATTAATGCATAAATCTTTAATTTTCACAACTGTTCTTACACACTAATTCTACATCACCGTTGGGCAGAAGTAGAATTAATGCATAGATCATTAAAATTAACATCTGTTCTTATACACTAATTCTACATCACCGTTGGACAGAAGTAGAAATAATGCATAAATCATTAACATTATCAACTTTTCTTATACACTAATTCTACATCACCGTTGGGCAGAAGTAGAATCAATGCATAAATCATTAAAATTACGATATTGTTATTAACAACGTTGGTCAGAAAATAACAACATCATAATCATATCAAAACTCTTTTTCTCCAATTAAATACCACGTTGGTACAAATTAACCGAAGAATAAACAATTTCTCTAGCTGTAGAAAAACTTCTCCTTTTTCTTGAATTTTACCCACAGGGAAAATTGTATTTTCTATTTCCTTTAATCCATTAATCAATTTCCAGAAAATAAAACATTTACTGGAAAAACTTTGAGAATATACTTTTTCTTTAGCAACGGAAAAACTCTTACTCAATTTCTTGAATTTTACCCACAGGGAAAAATTACCTTTTCTATATTATTTAAGCCATTAATCAATTTCCAAGGAATAAAAACTTTACTGGAAAATAAAAAACGAAAAATGGATCAAATGATCACTGTTCTTTCAGCCCGGCCAGCAAAACAGCCCGGCCCAGCTACTCTCCGCGCGCGCTGCCGCACCCAGGCCGCAACCTGGGCCTGGGCCGGCAAAGCCACGCCGGTGCGCTCGCCCGCCTGGGCCGAGAGCAGCCCGATCAACCGGTGCCATTGATTCCAATCGGACGGCCGAGCGGGCGTTTCGACCGGTCAAAAACCCAGCGCCGCTTGGCCCCCCGCAACCCTAGCGCCATTCGCCCCCTGCCTTTCTCTCTCTTCTTTCTCTCTTCGCCGCTTTCCTCTCCTCACTCAGCCGTAGAGATGAAACCGAGCGAGAGCGAGCAAGGCGAATGAGTGGAGCAGCGAGCCCCGGCCCCGTCGCCGGCCCCCTCGCCGGTGTGCGCGTTCCCCAGCGGGTGAGCGCACCGCCGTCGAGCGGCCTGGCCGCGGCGCCTCTGTGGCCGGATCCCGGCGAGCAGTGCCCCCGGCCGGCCCTTTCTTTTCCCCACGCGCCGGCGTGCACGACGGCGAGGTAATCCACCCCCTTCCCCTCTTCCCCTTTCGGTTTCTTTGGTTCTTGTGCTCGGATTTCATCCGATTTGGAGATTAGGGTTAGGGTTTGGGGATGGGGTTTCACTGTTTTCTTTTTCCCTTGTTCCCCAATCGGATTTAGATCTTGTTTGCTTTTCTTTGTTTGACCGATTGGGTGGGTTAGGGTTTCATTTTCTTTTGATTTCTTTTCACTAGCGGCAGCACCCTTTTCCCCCACGGTGAGGAGGTCCCGAAACCCTGAAACCCTAGATCTCCTGTCTTCTTCTGAACTTTCTTTCTCTCAGCCTCACGAGCACGCGCCCGACGGCGGTACAGTGGTGAGATTTTCTATTTCCTTTAGTTCATCAGAATCGGGTCATGGGTTAGGGTTCCAATTCCGACCCTCCCCTTTTCCCCTTTCTCTGATTTGAGTTGCTCTTCTCTTTTCTTTTCTTTTCGAAGTTGATCCGAAAACAAGATCTAGGGATACGGTTTCATTTTCTTTTGATTTCTTTTCTTTTCAGAGTTCATCCGAATAGGTTCCTTTCCCCTTCTTTGATTCTTTTCTGTTTCTCTTTTCGGTCGAGTCCGATTTGGATTTCTTTTCATTCTTCTCGGATTCAACCGGTTAGGGATGAGGATTCGTTCTAGGGTTAGGGTTTCGGCTCTGTTCATCTTAAGGCTGAAAACTTTTCTTTTCCCCCTTTCTTTAACCCAGTTAGGGTTAGGGTTCAAGTGCCGAGGGCCCTTGATTTTCTTCTTCTCTGATCCGAACACGAATCTGTTCTTTTCCCCACACGCGGTGGCGGTGGTGACCGGTAGACAGTACCCCGGTCTCTCTCTTTTTGCTTTTACCCGGTTAGGGTTAGGGTTACACACTTAGTAACCTGCTCTGGTACCATTGTTAGGATCGATGATGTGTACCTCTGTGTAACCCGTAGATCCGGTGTGAGCCTTCTCACCCTTTGCGAGGATTCACCGCTCTGTCCATGACGCCGCAGCAGCTTGGACGCCGGTGTAGGGGCAGCTCCGGGTTGGTGGCGAGACGACGAGGTAGCGATGCCGTGGAGATCCAGAGGGGACGGTGGTGACCCTACAGTGAGTCGACGGCGGTGGTGGCGGGCTCATCCCATCGCTGGCAGCACGTCTTTAGATCGGATTAGGATTTTCTTTGGTGGGTGTGGCGGCTCCGGTGAACCTCGTTTCTTGAGCCCAGTCCCCACTCCTCTATTTATGTGCTGTGCGACAGGGGCCCACCAACCAGTTAGGGTTGGGCTCCCCCGATCAGGGAGCAGAGGCAAGGGCCCAATAGGCCGTTGGGCCTATTGGTGGAGATCAACTAACACTCGGGACCCCCGACACCACCACGCAGGTCCACCCGGGCCTCTTCACCAAGGCCGTCCTCGCCGCGTCGTGCGCCGAGGTCGTCATCGGCGAGGTGGAGCGCGTCGTGGCCCGGGACGGCCGCGTCGCCGTCGTCGTGGTGAAGGGGCGCGACGCCGTGGTGGACGCCGACGCCGTCGTGCTCGCGCTTGGCCCCTGGTCTGGCCGCCTCGAGGTCGTCGCCGAGGTGTTCGACGTGTCCGGGCTCAAGCGCGACAAAGATCGTGCTCCGCCAGCATGAGCCCAGAAGAAGATCACGCCAGACCGCCTCTTCCTCAGCTACCACCGGAGCCCGGCGCCAAGATGCTCGACCCCGAGGTGTACCTGCGGCCCACTGGTACGCCATTGCTGCCTGTCACGTACCTGCTGAAATTCTTGCACAACTACTAAGCTTCAATTGCCCAATTCGCTCATCTTGTTCTCGCTGCTCGCGTCTCTGCGCATTCAGGGGAGGTGTACATACGTGGGATGAGCAAGGACGAGAACCCACCAGATGACCCAGCAACAATAACGGGCGAACCAGACTCAATTGCAATGCTGCATAAGATCTCACGGAAGGTGTCCAGCCAGCTGAAGAAGGAAGAGGGCGCGGAGGTGGGCGCGGAGCAGGCGTGCTACCTGCCATGCACCGCCGACGGGCTGCCGGTCATCGGGGAGATACCGGGCGTGAAGGGGTGCTATGTGGCCACCGGGCACAGCTGCTGGGGCATCCTCAATGGTCCGGCCACCGGCGCAGCCCTCGCGGAGCTCATCCTCGATGGCAAGGCCAAGATCGTTGACCTTGATCCTTTCAGCCCGGCAAGGTTTCTCAAGAGAAGGAGCAGGCGTGGAGCCTGACCATGTGATGTGCTTCGTGTCAATGTTCAGAATCAAGCTTGCTACTGAATAAAACACTCTTGACTCTCCCTTTTGCCGTACTCCTTGGTGATGAGAGTTGCAAAACATGTACTGTATGAGTTAATAAATCATGGATATATAGTACTTGATGTTCTGTATTTGTTGTACATACATCACAAACGGTCCTAACATGCCAACACCATGATCAGACGCTCATTTAGCTGAGGTTGAGCTCAACAAGTTGTTGCATCTGCAGCTCCTTATGTTTCCTTGTGGTCAAGTCAAGTGACACTCTACTACCTTAACAAAACGGGGAGAAAAGAAGGGACAAAAAAGTGACAGTATACTACAAATGTAAATCTTAAGAGCCTCTTTGGCAGGGCTCCTGCATGGGCTTCAGCTCCGGCTCCTGCAGAAGCTGTGCCAAACGCCTGTTTTGGAAAGGACTCCGCATGGAAAGCCGGTCAAGAGCCGGAGCCATTTTTTGCCTGCGCAGGAGAATCCTCAAAAACGAGCTTCGTGCGGCTCCTTGCTATGGGTTCACGTCGTCTAGTGCGAAGGAGCCGTTTTGCCAAACGTTTTCCTCATCCAGAGGAACCAGAGCCGGAGCCATTTTCAGAGTAGCCAGAGCCCTGTCAAACAGACCCTAAAGTGTAAATCTTTCAAGAGAAAGCTTCAGTGTAGCAAAGTAATCTCATGAATATCCAATTTATGTGACATCTATCAACATAGCTTTATAAAGAAAACCAACATTCCTATTCTACATAAATCTGTATGATTCAGACACCGGAAAACATGATTTCAAGCCTTTCCCAAAAATGTCAACCATAACCTTATTCTTGAGGCATAATCAGGCATGAGAAGTGAAACAGTATGCACAAAATATTGGAGCTACAAGCAGTGCAGACGCTGGGTCAACCTTCGTTAACCTCAGTAGATAAGATTGAGATCCCGTACAAGACTAAAAGGTAACTTGCCTCCACAAAAAATATACCACACTATTCTGACACATCCAGTGGGCAACTTAGTCTTAGACCAAAAAGATCTAAACATGAGTCTGACTAGGGTTAGGATAGTTTTCATAAGTCATAGTCTTTCTGGCACGGGTTTACTAGTTTGAGTCCAAGTACAAGGTCACCTTCTTCACTGCTGTGAAGGAAGTCTGCAGCCTCCAGTCTTTCTGCTTCCTGTTCAGCGGCCTTTCCTTTCCCAGCTTCTGCTCGATCGGTTTTCCTTGACGTCTGCCAGCTTCCAGACACAGTGCTCAGCCTGACTATCAACGGACTCGCGCAAGAAGATGCCATCCTTCAGCAGGTTCTGCTTCGACATATGGTCATTATTGCCTTCAGCAAGGTATTGCACCCTCATAGCCATGTCCTTGAAGCGGTCCAAATCCTCGGGCACCTTCAGAAGCCTCTCTGCCCCTGGTGATGATACCTGCAATGACCAAAACTTTTCTGTAAGTAGGTCTGAGCTGCAGATGCATCCATTGGTTTACAGTTTGGTTAGGTAGCTTGCCTCAAGTGCCAGGTCCAGGGATATTTCACCTCTTTCAATAATCTCATCCAACTTCTGCTTGTAGAGCCTATTGAAATTCTCTATTTCCTCAATATCAGGGCACCCATACCTGTCAATACCCGTAAAAAAGGCAAAGAATAAGATTGGCATTTCAATAGAACCATGTTACCTTGACCAGGTTAAATGATACAGACATTTTGGTGATTTCTGCAGTTCTGCATCGTTTAAGATCAATAATGCAGAATGCATGGCACATGAAGTCATAAATAAATAGAAGATACAAGCACACCACCAACCAACAATGAATACTAGTATACAAGCACACCACCATCCGGCCTGTTCGCTGGTTGGTGCTGGTGCTGGTTTTTTGTGAGAGAAAAACACTGTTGGCTGACTGGTTTAGGCTGGCTGAAACCAACAAGCGAACAGGCTGATGATATCACCATAACAAGCCAAAATATCATCAAATGTGTCAGCGCCAGAGTGTTTTTAAGGCATCAAATTTGGGCACAGATAAGTAGCAGTGAGTTGTCACTAAGGACATGACTTCTGTTTTAGCCAACTAGTACATTGGTTCACACTGAACCCATTCACACTATTTCTGAATCATCCAAGGGCAAGCACAACACCATAATGAACAAACGAGACCGACAAATGCCTGCACAACAACCAGAAAAGAAAGAAAGAAAAACGTTACTCACACGTTGGTCAGCTTGTCGAGGCGCACGTAGACGTATCCCTTCGGCGACACCTTGAAGGCGAACAAGGCGACGTCATCCCCAAAATGGTCGGCAAGAACCTCCTCGGCCGCCACGAGGGCACGCTCGCCCCACTCGACGCCCCGCAGCGCGACCCCGCCGTCGCCGATCTGGAGAAAAGCGCTGATGGTCAGAGCCCCACTTCGCAAGCCGCAAGGGGGACCAGGCCAGGGTCGCCGAAACCGAACGGACCTACCTCGGGCTCGTAGCCGTCGTCCTCGCTGTCCTCCCACTCCACCGCCCACTCCTGCGCCCCCTCCTCGTCGTCCGTCGTTGCCTCGCGCCCGCCGACGCCGCCCCGCGCGGCCTCGCTCGCCAGGGAGCGCGTCTGCGCCCGCACGTGCGCCGCAGCCGCCGCGCGCTGCGCGGGTAGGAGGCGCCGGGAGCGAGAGGCGGGTGTGGAGGGAGATGTGACCGCACGGCTGAGGCTGGAGAACGAGGCGGCGGCGGTCGAGGAGGAGGGGCAAGGGGAAGCGCCGCGGCGGCATTCCGTCGAGCACCTTGAGAGCAGCGCGCGGAGCGCCCGTGCGCAAGCTGCCGCCATCCTGTCTGGTTCGACCCTGTATGTATGGCTCAATGGGATGTTTCGGGATCTCTCGGCGGGATTGGGCTCTCGTGCTTTACCTTTGTGTTCGGACAAAAGATTCGGACCCATAGCTAAAGAAATGGTTTTATTATTCCAGCATGCACACAACCATTTGTGTTTAGGCTTTCCAACCAGACAAGAGTCAACAAATAGAAAAAACAAGAGTTCTTGACAAAGGACCACATGAAAACACTTAAAAACATAACTAATTTATAAACATCCATCCATATTTGTGAAGATCTCCATGACCATAGTCTTCAACATGTATTTAAAGTATGCTCACACTCTACAATGTTGTACATCTAGATTCTAAAATGGGCTGGAGACTTGTTTAATATTTCAACAAGAGCTAAAACATTTCAACACATCAAAATAATTTCAACGAAACAAAAGAGAAATCAAAGAACTTAGGTGGGGCTAAGAGACACAAAGCTCTCGAGCAATTCCTTGAGGGACAGTAGGAGACTGGAGCCGCTCAATGCGTGCGGGGTGGTGGGGCTGAGCAGGGGGCATGCGCGGTATCGAAGGGTCGGGGGAACGAGTGACGAGCACGTACGATCGAACGGCCGATGGAGACTTCTGTCAGGGAGGGCGTGCGTCTGCCAGGTGAACGATTGCATTTGTCGTTTTTTAATTGTAGAGACGAGAAGAGATAAGGGTAACTACATGTGTTCAAAAGACGTATTCAAAAGCACCCAACACGTACACACAAAAAGGAAGTTTAGTGTGTTGATGTTGCAGTGTGCTATAACCCTTTTTAGGGGCCATCCAGCATTAGTGCTAGTGTTGTATATTATTTCCATAAACTTGGTTAAAGTTAACAAGATTTAACTTTAGAAAAATTAAAATTAAAACGAACTATAATTTGAAATGGACAGTAATATATACCCCTCACGTTTCCATTCCCATGGCTAGATTTTAGCAATTTATGTATGTTAGTATTACTATTTGGAGGTTCCAACGTTCCTCCACATTCTGAACAGATGAACCAGAAAAAAAAAAAGATAAATTTTACAAATTTCTCAATAAAATAAAAAAGATAGGGTCATTAATTTAATACACACTAGTAACCATTGATAACAATAGACATTGAAAATTACATCTATGATATTATGTAAGATAATATAAAGTAACCCAAAATTTGCACATAAATTACCCTTACGCGCCATCATATCTGACATCATGAAACATAATTTAAAATACCCTTGAATTGACATCTAAATTACTCAAAGGGTCATTATGACATTAACAGAAGTCCATATTACCCAATTCTCCCATCATTAAAGTTAAAGTAAAATACTCTCTCAAATTTACATCAAATTACCAGGATATCCTATTATGGAAAAATTTAAAGAACAATAAAAATTATGTGTACATAACTTTCTACATATGGATACATGAGTAGTACAGGTATATTTCTATAAACATATACTCCCTCTGTCCAGTAAATTTTGCAATCGTAGGACTGGAGGGAGGTAGCAATGCACATGACAAATGACCAAAATACCCTTGTATTTGCTCTGACGTACTGACCCAAAGTTCAGTTTTTTATTTTCTTTAGCGTTCTAGAGACATCCGTGGATTGTGAGGAAGAGCAGATCACCAACAGCACAGGGTCTAATGTGGGTCCCCTTGATGTGATAGCCTAGCATGATAGACCATATGAATTCTACGATTGCAAAAAATTTGTTGGACAAATTTGAACTCTTAAATTGCAAAATTTACTGGACGGAGGGAGTATGTTGTGCTATCATCTAGAACAAGGATACATATGCGTGGATAAATGAGTAGTGATGTATATTTCTATATTTTAGCAATCATGAAAAATATTGCTTTAGCGACCTATATACGAACATTTATTTTAAAATTATATAAATGTCTATGATAACAATTTGCGGACGTCACATTAGATAAATCAGAGTTAAATGCAAGAGCAGTCCTTGAAACTGTATGTGTATGCCACTTAGGTCAATAAACATTCAAATTGCATTTCTAAGTCAAACCCCTTGAGGAGACCAAAATAAGCACTTAACCCCCACGAGTTTCTTCCTATTTTGTTTTCCATCCCTCCATCCACTCGTCCTCACGCGCTCCTACACGTGCACTGCCTATAGGACCTCTAGATGGTAGGGGCCGGA